GTTTCCACCTACGAAAGTGGAATTCTAATTCAAATGCATTTCTTGCAGAATTTCAAGAACTTGTTCAACGGACACTAATTTAGAAAAATTTCTAATGATAAGGAAAGCACGAAAGTCTTAGGATTATTTTGGAACTCTTCAACAGAAACATTCATTTTCAAACCCGCACTTGCACTCACCTCACCGCTGACAAAAAGACATGTTTTGTCCCAATCGGCACGCATTTTCGATCCATTGGAATTAATTTCACCATGTACTGTTGTATTTAAAATTTTTTATCGAAAGCTGTGGCTTACAAAAGGGGAATGGGATTCTCCTATTCCACAAAGTCTTGCTGAAGATTTGTTTAAATTTCAAAAATCTTTCAATGCAGTTGAACATTGTATCGTTCCTAGAGGTGTCACGCTTATTTCCTCTGACAGATTTGAATTGCACGGCTTTTGCGACGCTTCAACACTTCCTTACGCTGCTGCAATATATTGCAAACAAATTCGCGGAAATGAAATAAAGGTTTCTCTCAGTTTCTAAAACTAAAGTCGCACCTATCAAACAAGTATCTATTCCTAAATTGGAACTATGCAGTGCTCATTTGCTTTCAAAGTTATATCGTGCAGTCATGAACACTCTCAAAAAATATAAGTTTAATGTTTACGCTTGGACTGACTCCAAAGTCGTACTTTCCTGGCTTTCGGCACATCTCCGTAAATGGAAGACTTTTGTTGGAAACCGGACGTCTCAAATAATCGAAGTACTTCCAACAAAATACTGGAGGCATGTCCCTTCCAAAAAGAACCCAGCAGATATCGCTTCGCGTGGTATTGATCTCAAATGTCTTCCTAATTGCAACTTGTGGTGGAATGGCCCAAGTTGGCTTTTTCTTGGATTCCTCTCAATGGCCGAAAGAGGAATCCGCTTCCAAAGAAATCAAGGATCTAATTAAAGCTGAACAAAGATCTGATCGTATATTTTCATTTCATAGTGCTACATCAAATGAATTATATAGTGATTTATTTGAAAAATATTCATCATTTCCTAAGATTATACGCATTTTAGCATATTGTTTAAGATTCATCAATAAGTGCAAAACCAATAACAAATGTCAAACACTTATAACTGATTCCTATTCTCCACTCACTTACACGGAAACTAAAATGCAGAAATAATCATAATTCGGTGGGTTCAGAAAGATTATTTTAATGAAGACCTAAAATGCATTAAAAATCAAAGATAGCTAAGAAAAGCTAAGAAAAGTCAGCTACACTCCCTCCATCCGTTTATAGATGAAAACAGTCTTTTGCGGGTGGGAGGGCGTTTACAAAATTCAGAATTGTCTTTTAATCAAAAGCACCCAGTGATTCTACCTGCTAAACACAAGATAAGAGAGCTCATCGTAAAAGAAAAGCATGTGACTTATTTACATGCTAGTGCTTCATTACTGTCCCACATTATTAAACAATTCTATTGGATAATAGGTGGAAAAAAGCTCATTAATAAATGTGTTCACAAATGCATCAAATGCTTCAAATTTAAAGCAGCCACCGCATCCCAGCTTATGGGTAATCTACCTAAGCATCGTGTAACACTCGAGAGGCCTTTCTTTAACTGCGGAGTGGACTATGCCGGTCCTATTTCAATCAAATTCAACAAGTGTCGTGGAGCAAAATCAACCAAGGGTTACATTGCTCTATTTATTTGTCTCGCTACTAAGGCACTACACATCGAGGCAGTCAACGATTTAACCGCTGATGCATTTTTAGCTGCTTTGCGTCGCTTCAGTGCTAGACGAGGAGCTCCAAGTCACATTTACAGCGACAATGCAACAAACTTCGTTGGGGCTAATCGAGAGCTCAGCGAAATACAACGATTGTGGGCTTCCCTTCCTAAGAACGAAGCCGTTGCTCATCATTTAACTCAAGCATCAATAGAATGGCACTTTATATTCCAGCATCTCCTCATTTCGGAGGAATTTGGGAGGCCGCAATTAAATCAACCAAATATCACTGTAAAAGAGTAATCGGTGAAACTCTACTTACTTTCGAAGAATTGACAACTCTATTGGCTCAGATAGAAGCCATTTTAAATTCTCGTCCGTTATGTAGTGTAAACAATACTGACATTGATTGCATTAATATTCTCACTCCTTCACATTTTCTTACAGGAGATGTGATCTTATCCCCTTCTGAACTACCTCTTACTAGTCCTGCTAATATACGGAATAGGTGGGATCTCTTTCAAAGGATACGGAAGGACTTCTGCAAATCATGGACCAAAGCATATCTATCCTCTCTTCAAACCAGAAAAAAATGGAAGGACACTCACCCGAATATGACAATTGGAGACATCGTCCTGTTACTAGATGATGGTCATCTTCCAGGTTCTTGGCCACTAGGACAAGTGGTCGAATAGTGCTAACAGACTGGTTCGTGTGGCCATGGTTAAAACTAAAAACTCTATTTTTAAAAGAAACATTCATAAATTAGCACCTTCCCCCATACATCAGGACTAATGCCTGATAGGGTGGGTCTATGTTTCGGCGCGCCGGAACAGAACAACTCAACCTGACTCTTTCGCTTTTGGAACTATGCCAAAGAACATTGATTTCAGTTGAACAGTCAGACTCAGACGAACGCATTCGCAAGGCAGATGGAATGCTGTCTATTTTTCACTATTTTTGTTGTTTCTCGTGTTTATACCTTTTATATGACATTTTCTTGTTTATACTTGTATTGTGCAGTTATTTAATATAAGTTGTGTGTTTAAACGAGGAGTGTAAAAGAGGAAAAATCTTTAGATACATATTTCGAAAAATTTCATCAGTTACCTGATTTTAATTTGAAAAGAAACAGGCAATTTTTCAATTTACCGTGACCTGATAAAAGCTTAAATTGTTATAATAAAAAGACTCGAAATGTGGAATAAGGAAGAGGGGACGTTTTGCTGTTCTCAGTATCACAAGTTGAACGAATTGTTATAATAATAGGACTTCTAATATTACTTTACAAATATTAATGCTGATGGAGAAATTTAGAGCAATTTTTACTAAAACATAAATCCTTTTATTTCCATAAATACCATGATGGCTACGTTCATAAGCCCCCCCCCAAAAAAAAATCAGTTTCTCTATTTCTAACTGAATTGACAGCTAAAGAGAATGAATTTCAGTACAAGTGGTATTTTAGATTCATGAATGCGACAAGTCAGACGAACGGAGTTGGACATTCTATTGACAAACAGACATGACGACATAGAGAGAAAATGTTATGGGCTACAAATGAAGACTATCGAAACCATTTACGAAATTTCTGAAGGAACTTATTCTGGCCTTCCAACAATTCTAGAGGAAGATTCGGGGACTTTCGTTTTGTCGTTTTTGTTTCCACAGATAAAGAAGCTCTTAAAAAGTAATTCAAGGGATAAAATATATATTTCAATGATATGGATGAGATGCAATAAAAATACGCTGCTCGCATAGAATAAGTACGCCGTTTAAAGAGCTTCAGAGCGGTTCACATGTTTTCTGCAATCGGCAAAAGTGTACGGATGATGATGTAGAATATTTTGAATAAGATTAAAACATATAGCATGAAAAATGTCATATAATTTCTTTACAAAACTTTTTGTTTCAATGGCAGGAGCAGGCTCTAAACACTACTGAGGCTTGAAGTGGTGGTTTCTTTATCATGGAGGCACTTAATGGGTGAGCCACAGTTGCCTCCTGTGAAAGAAGGGACAAACTACATCCCTATCTTCTCTGGGATACGAACTGGGCTCTTCGGTACAGTAGTCAGAGTCACTAGCCACTTTCCAATCTGGGCGGCTAATTCCTTAAAAGAATTCTAGGTATTTCTTGGTAATCCCCTTGTAAATTTAAGATACCTGTTCAATATTTAATTAATAGTTATCAAAATTTAAGTTTGGTTTTATATTTATTTCAAATGCCTAACCTCAATGACATTTGAAAGAGAAGCAAGACATTAATCAAGGAACAAACATCTCCTTTCTGTTCCAAAAATGTTCGAACGTCTGCCAAAATGGGTATCAAAAATTTAAGATCTTCAATTATTAATGCCTAATTTGTCGTGCAGTTGCTGCATTAGCTATTTTTAATATTTGTAATCGCCCACCAGCGGCCGAGCGGTAAAGTCGCTAAACTCTGGTAGTTCGGTCCGAGTTTCGAATCTCGCGAACGGGCTGGCTGCATGGCGTTTTCGTGGTTTTCTCCATGTGTAACGTGTATACGAGCCAGTTTCCCTTAGAAAGTCCTCCACGAAGGCATCCCTCCCTTTAGGCAGATAGCCCTCGTGTGCTTTGTCATAATTAAATACACCAACACCAATATTTTTAATCCACGGTTGCAAAAATACAAAGAGATGGATAATCCACGGATGCAAAAACATAAAAAACTGGACGAATGTTTATAAATAAGAAAAAGATTACTAAAATACAAATAAAACTCTTTCAAAATAATCACTAGAGGATTTTATAGAATTTTTACGACGGTTCTTCAAGTCATCCAAACACTTTTTTAAGGGGTGGTAAACAACCGTTTCCAAAATACGTGTTAACATTTGAAGTTGAAAGGGGATCTACCTTTGCTTCATCTAAAACTCTTTCGCGTCCACATTTAAAGCGGTTATACTACTCATACACTTGTGCTCCTGATAACGATGCATCACCATGTACTGTTCGATTCGTCTCTAACGTTTCGGTAACAGATTTGTTTCATTTATAAAAAGAATAGTGTTATATCAGAAGTTCATCTCAAAGCAAATTTTTTTGTACAAGGTGTCTTCTCTGTAAATGAAAATTACTCCGGAGTTTTGATGTGCAGATAAGAAATAATCAGTTTTAAGTGGCTTTCACAAGAGCTGATGTGTTACTCTTCCTGAACATACATTTACTCTTTCAGTTTTTTAATTTATTTTTTGTTGTAGTTTATTATGTTGTCTAAGCAAATTTTATGTCTAGCGTTTTATCACAAAATAACCAAATTTTCTTACCTAAAACTTGTAGGAAACCCGTTTGACTAATCATGGGTGTTGTGTTTATTTGGCACATGTATTGTCCAGTGTCTTTAGCCTGGACATTATCTATATGCAAATACCAAATCCTGTGATTGTTGTGCGTCACCCTATACTTGGAATTTCGAATGATGACTCGAGTTTGTATGCTTAACAAAGTGTTTTCATCCTTACGAGACCAAGCTATCTGAAATAGAGAACATTATTATTCTTTGCATAAATTATGATTTATTACGTAATAACGTTATACATGAATTAAAATTTAATGAATTATACATTAATTACGTACTGCAATTAGCATTTTGATTAGAATATGTTTAAGAAATAATTGCTTGAAAATGCTTTAAAACTAAATCTTTGGAGTTACAACAAAAGTTCATTAATTAAAATCGTAAAATACTAAAAGCGCAAAGTCCAGTACTAGGACTTTCTTGAATTATTCAAATCAAAATTTCTCTTATAAAAGAATAAGCGATTTTGGAAATCCATAACATATGCTCAGTCTAAAGGAGTTCCAAGACTTTAAGTGAACGTAATTTGTGCGTTACTGTTATATTCTTTTAATTTTGAAATATATTTAAAATTACTATCAAGATGCAGAGAAATTTAGTTTAAATATTACGCTGAATAACACAATCAGAAGCAAAAGAATTAAGAATCAGTGTAAATTTTTTATACATTTTTTACAGTATGCAAAGAAATGCTATATTTTTGAAGCATATAATTTTAACAATATAAAAATATCAGATTATTGTTTTTATTCAATCTCTTTCAATTTTACACTTTTGAAATAATCTCGGAAGAAAATAACAATTCTGTTTAGAAAAGTCAAGATAAAATGTCTCTGTTTTAAACAGAAAAAATCAGCGTTATTATTAAACAACTAGGAGAAATAGGTAATTGTTTTAATAAATAGTAAAATTAAAATACGTATAATGAAAGATATTTTAATAAAATGAGAAACATTTTGTGATTTAACATAGTTTCATCAGATGATAGCGGATCTTTAAAGTTACGATTTCAAAAATATATCGAACAAGGCAAGCTATGGCAATTTCATTAAGCTGGCACCTATTTTATACGGGTTAGATATTTTGTTTGATCATTTCTCGAAAACAAATTAGGTAATAAATTATCTCTCATTATAGCAAAGATGTTAGTATTTAAGATTGACGCTTGAAAATAAAATTGTCAATATTATGTGATTTTATCAATTCCTGTGTGTCTGACAAATTCGGGTATAGCAAGGATTTTATTCTTCATAGTGGTTTATCCTGTGAGGCCTGTATGAATATTAAATTTTTGTACAATAAAAAGGTATTATGTGTCCAGAAGTATTATAGTCTGAAAGCCTACCTTATTTGAATCATATGGCCATTATCATTGTCATAATCATTAATTTATAATAGTGGTTCTCAACACGTTTTGCCTCACGCACCCCCTCCTTTCTCAAATTCGAAAAAAAAAACATATAAATTTATTTAAATTTAGATCATTTTTAATGCGTTTCATTACTTATATAAGAAAAAATATAAACTTTTGATAAATAACAATACTTCAACAAAAGTAGTTTTTTTATAATCATGGACTAAAATTAAATACTTAACAGGTAAACAAATCCTTCTGCTTTTTACTCTTGCAAGTATGAGTTTTACTTCTAGGGGGAATACCTAGTCCATCACAAACCAGTAAATATATATTTAGTCTAGTAGCACTTTTAACAACAACAACATATACATCTCTCTCTCATATGTATTAGTTACCGTATATAAATATTGGTTGTTTTATGATGTTTTGTCTATGACAAAGTGCAATTAGATAGCTCCGAAGCTGTCAAAGACCGCTTTTGCAACCTCGTGAGCTCTATCAGTATAAAGTATGTCCACTGGGTCTTCAATGCCGATGTTAAACAGTCTGGCCTGGATTGCTGGGCAGCTGAAGATGTGATGGCGAGACAGTGGGATGTCATCTGGGCAATGAGGACAAATGTTGGTGTAACTACGCTGTCCGCCTGCAGAAATCCTCATCCCTTTTAAGTGATTTGTCTTAAGTCTGGTTATGATAGTCGATATGGCTCTGTCACAGTTCAGTTCCGGGATGGAGTTTCCTTTAACTTGAACGATTAGTCTTTGGCTGGCAACTGCATTGGCATCAACGAGGGTTAGGCAGTTGGATGGCTGAAGAGAATCAAGGGGATGGCTTTGCAAGCTCATCGGCCTTCTCATTACCAAAAATATTTACATGAGCCGGTATCCATTGTAAGATGCAGGATCTTTGGGCAGCAATGATTGACAGCTTTGGGCATCTGAGTTGACATTTGCCCTTCTGGATCGTTTGCAATGCTGATCTGCAGTCAGAGAAGATGATGATTCCCTTGGAACTCTGGTCTTCTTTAGAGAGATAAATCTCCAGAGCACTTTTAATGGCGACGAGCTCGCATGTTTAGTTGGAGGCGATTTTCCCTACAGGAATACTGTGGCATTTCTGCACTCCGTCTTGTCCGATGAAAAAGACTCCCGCTCCTCCTCTGTTCAGATTGGAATTGGAAGAACCGTCTGTGTAGGCGATCGTCAGATCTTGAGTTAAGGTCGCGAGTTCTTCAATGGTATGGTCACCCTTTTAATTGATTATTGAGGTGGGATCTTTCTTGGTACAAGGCTGTAAGAGATATAAATAAATTTTTGTTTGAGGGAGAGGGCACAGAATGTTGTAACACTCTTTGGAAATTTTGAGAGTTCCATATTTGAGGTTGATGTCATTTCTGATATCTTGGTCATGTTGGAGGGTTGAGGATCTCTTAAGCCTTTGATTGTCACTCCATGCCCTGAAGGTTCTACTTCAGATATGATGTTCAGCAAGGATTTGTATTTTGTTGGTAAATTTAATTGTTATTAATTTTCTTCTGCTCTCCAAGGGGGCGAAGCCGCATTCCTTTTCAATTTTGATGTTATTCGTTGATGAAACAGCTTCAGTGATGATTTTAGAGGCCCTATATTGAACAGCGTCGATCTTTCCTTTAACAGTAGACCTTGCCGATGCCCATATGGGTGCTGCGTATTCTAGAACAGGCCTGACAATGGACGTGTAAGTATTCTTGAGGGTTTTTGGTCTTGATCCCCAAGATGGGATTATCGGTTGTTTGATTGATTTGATTGGCCTTTGTGACTGCTTCCTAATAACGAATATACTAAAACCAAAATACATCCTAGAAGTACATTTTTATGGATACATTTGTCTCATTTATTATTAAAAACACTTTATTTTGTTACTTCCATATCAAATGTATATATATTTTCTTTTTTGCACTTGTTGGTGTCTGCAGTTTAGCCACGTGACCTGTGATCTTGATCAAATCTCCACTGATGGAGTACGAGACAGATTGTAAAAGAGTCGCTTTGACAGCCATGAGTTATAAAGTTTCTAACTGTGAGTTTGAGAGATTAAAACAAGATAGTTACAATCCACTGAAGGAGTTATTTTTGCATAAAACGCATTTTTGGTCTACGTCGAGCAAAGAAAGAAGTCAAGTGATTTCTTTACTTCAAGAGAGTTCTTTACTGCAAGAGAGTTCATTTTCGATTTGCCGTGAGATATAACATAATCTTTATTTTAATTGTCTTCTTCTAATTACAGTGGTTAAAACTATAAGTCAAAAGTCTCTTGTTTTGAGGGCAATAAAAGTCACCACATAGTCTTGCATTTTTTACGGGAGAAGAATAAAAGCAACTCGAATGTCCCGTGTCTGATTGCAATTTCAATATATGTTGGAAGGTTGATGAGCTGAGAAGGGGCGGATCCATTCAATCAAGGTCACAAGCACTCGACAGTAGCAGCGAGTTAGTCATAACAAATTAAGAACCGATTTGTTGAGTACAGCTACTTTAAATTTCATAATGAAAAAGCCTGTGGATAGGCTTCAGCTAAAAAGAGAAAAAACAGCATCATATTTTCTTATTTGAATGATTCATCAGGGAAGATTAAGGGCGGTGCTGAAACGACAGTAACAAATAAAGATTGAGAATTTCAGAGAAAATTAGTTTTTATAAATTATAATTATTTTTATTAATTAATGTTTTTATAAATGTTTTTATAAACTATCACATTTAACACAGTATAAAATATTTAATGCCTGTATAGAAGGATAAAATAACATAGAATTTGCTGATGTTAATACCCCAAGTAATACTGACGTACTCTTAGGGGCAGGAGATTTTTATGGTTTGTTAAGACCAAAAAAATTACAACCACAAGGTTTGCAATTAATTTTACGGAACGCAGTGTTCGGATATGTAGAAAGTGGCCTATTTAAAAAAAAAAGAAAAAGAAAAAAATGAAGAGACACAACTACTTGTTGTAACAGACCCACATACATATTTCGACGTTCTACGGCTATTCGTTTCTGAGTTATGAGATATACATACATATGCACGTACGTAGAGACGTCACGGTAAATCCCTTCTGAATCCATTTTAAGTCCATTATATAATCTGTTTTGAAAAGAATAGTTCTTTGTTCTGTTAGTACAGATGTCTCGCAAAAAGTAGCGTCTAAATGGATTCAAGAACGGTCAAAATAAATAATTTCGTTGAAATATGATACCTGAATTTTTTCGTAATTACGATACTTTCTTTGCTTCGTACATAGAATTAAAAAAATATTTCATCTAATAATTTTGAAAGTCTTGTCTTGTTCATCTAATAATTCTAAAATGCTGCTCTACGATGCTGCCAAAATTTCCCTAGGTATTCAGTATATTGCAAATGATTTACATAAAACAAAACTTCTTCATAATGACCTGTACTTGTAGAATTAGCGGAGTTAATTGTGAAAACATTTATTCTACCTGGAATTTCTTTAACAGTCGTAATAAAACATACACTCTTAAATTCGAAATATACGTTATATAATGTACTAAATCTGAGGTATTTTTTTAATCTACTAAATATAATTTAATTTATGGCCGTAGTATTAACAAAATATACAGTTTCGGGTAACAATGTATACATACAAACACAGAACTCTAATTTTGACCTAAAATACCGAGCTTCAGAAACTGCCTTCGACAAATTCTATATGAATCAAACCCATTGCGAAGGAAGTTTTATAGATACTCAAAAGACACGAGACAAATAGTGCTACAAATGCCTACCTAATATACGCTTAATATCGTTTCGTGAATTCGACATG